AGCCAGAGCTCAGGTTGAAGGGTCTGGGGGTGCCAGGGATGGTGGACTGGAAAATTGGGCAGAGGAAGGCGAAAGGGCTGTGGATTTGGGCTGAGATTAATTTGTGGGTCAGGCAGGAGCTCAAAGCTATAGTAGTAGTAGAGGGCTGGTTCTTAGTTCATTCATTCATTCACTCAAAAAACAATTATGGAGCACAGGTCAGGATGCTCAGTGAGCTGGTTGGGGTAACAAGCTGACACGGGCACTGTTCTCATGGAACCTTCAGCGGCATCAGTGTTGGGCTGCTCTCTCCAGCTTTGCCTCTCTCCCCCATGGGACTGTGGGCAAGCCCCTCCATAATAAGGCAATAATAATAATAGTCATTATTTACTAAGCACTTGCTGTATGCCAGGTACTATGAGTTAAGAGTGTTACATGCACTATCTTATTTAACTCCTCCCTTTAAGATACTCTTGCCCAGCCAGCGTGGCTCAGTGCTGAGTGTTAACCTATGAACCAGGAGGTCAGGGTTCGATTCCAGGTCAGGGCACATGCCCCGGTTGTGGGCTCCATCCCCAGTAGGTGGCATACAGGGGGTAGCCTATCCACGATTCTCTCTTTAACGATTTTCTCTCTCTCTCTGCCTCTCCCTTCCTCTCTCTGAAATCAATTAAAATAAATAAATAAATATAAATTTTAAAAAGACACTCTTACACCAATTTTACAGATGAGTAACCTGAGTCGTGGAGACACAGAGCCACTATGCGGGACCTAGGGTTTTTAATTCCAAGCCTGTGCTTTTATCACAACCCTCTTTTATGGGTTTCTCGTTTCCATTGGTTAAAGGAGTGGGCAAGATGTGCTGAGCCTGAAGTGTCCGTCTAGTTTGGATAGTTGGGCAGATTTAGGGTAGGGACTCCGAATGGGTCTTTAAGGATGGGAGTGAGGGTGACACTCCCCTGCAGGGCACCGGGGCAGGAAGCTTCTTGGGGAGGGAGATGTCATTTCCTGCTCAGGTTCTCCAGGACCCAGCTGCCTCCTGGCTCAGTGGGGTCCTGGTTCTCCCAGGAGGAAGTCAGAGGCCCTGTTCAGCTTGGCGCCTGTGAAAGCCGGAGGACCACCCTGTTCAGGGGCTGCCCATTCCTTCGAGGAGGCGGGTGATAGGCCTGGAAAGAGAGCAAAGGAGAGTGGGGGAGAAGCTGTGCCCCATGGCTTCAGGAAGTTTTCCTTCATCCCCTGGGTGTGTGGCCATTTGCGGGAGGGTTAGCAGCTAGAGTGCGATGGAGGAGAATCAGAAGCAAGCCTTAGTTTCCACCAAGGATGAATTAGACCTTAGCTTAACCCCATGAGTTAGCTGACGTTGGCTGAAGAATTAAGGCGGCCAGGAGAATGCACCAGATGTAGGCAAAGGGAAGGAGGTGGGACTGTGGGAGGGAAGCTAAGGCCTTTGGCCGTCCCTGTATCCAAGGGGATGCCTTGAAAGAGTAGCAAGTAGAGAAGTCTGGGGTCCAAGGGAGGGGGGAAAGTGTAGACCCTCCCCTTTCCTCAGCCCTGTCCCCTCCCCCAGTCAGTGGGAGGCAAGCGGCCCAGGCACTGAACTCTACTTGCTTTAATTACAGCCTCTAGCAAAAGGAAACCTCAATTAGAGGAAAAGATCTGTACCAGGAGAGGGGAGTTGAGACTGGCTGGAGTGGCTGCAGTCCTTCTGGCCTTTTGCAAAAAGGGAAGAGACTTTTGCTTCCCCATCTCAGTTCTTGATCTTGTATTTCCTCCTTTAGTGCCCACTCAGTGCCTCCTCCTTCCCAGACTTGGTCTAGGATTTGCTGTGCAACCTTGGGCAGGTGACCTCACCTTTCTGAGCCTATTTCCTTATCTACAAAATGAGGATCTTACCATGCAGGGAATGTGGAGAGGATTATGGGACAAAGTGCCAGGCACATATTTGGTGCTTAGTATTTGCAGGCTGGTCCATTGAGAATCTGATAGTTGAAAGGGGGTTGTTGTGGCATCCAGTTGAGGTTGCAGATGGGAAGTTGTCCCCAGCACGAGAAGCAGGTTTAAGATAAAGCCTGGGCTGGGATACAGGGAAGAGGGTGTAGGAGCCCCTGCTCCTGGGTTGTGGTGGGTCCCCTGGTAACTCGGGGGTCCTCCAACAACAAAATGGCTCTGTTTCAGGTGGATGATGCCATGCTGATGTTTGACAAAACCACCAACCGGCACCGAGGTGAGTGTGGCCCCTCCCCCTTTCCAGGCCAGGCTGGGGGCCTGTGGTCAGCCAGGGGGCTGCAGGTCACAGCTGCCCTTTCATCTCTCCTCCTGACATCCTATCCCTGAGGATCTGCATCCTCTCCAGGGCCTGGCCTTACAGAAGGCTTTTGTCCCGCCGTTTCCTGTGCTAGAAACTTGCAGAATTGCAGACACCCGAGAGGAGCAGACTCTCCCCCAACTGAGCCCTCCACCCCCACCCGGCCTGATGTCTGCACAGCCAGTGTCTATGCTGGGGCTTACCTTGTCCCTGGTAACCAGAGCTCAGGCCAGGCCGCCCCAGGGTCAGGCTGACTTGCTGACTCAAAGCCCCAGGCAGTCTGCTCCTGCCACTGCCCTCCACCCCCACCCT